TAAAAATGTTTTATGTCACAGTCTTTCAGGGAACAGAATACCCCCACAAAAACTTTAAAAACTTTTTGGTTTAATTTCATTTTTTGTGTACAAGTATATTGTCTGCATGCATGTATGTGAGCCTAAGGAGGCTACTCCAAATAAAAAAATTAAAAATTTTTTTTTGTTTAGTGTGTGTGTGTGTGTGTGTGTGTGTGTGTGTGTGTGTGTGAGTGTGCATGTAATATGTAAGTGCAATGCCCAAGGAGGCCAGAAAAGGACACTGATCCCCTGGAATTGGAGTTATGGATGGTTGTTAGGAACCTTGTGGGTGCTCGGAACAGAGCCAGGGTCCTCTGCAAGAACAGCCAGTGCTTTTAACTGCTGGGCCATTTCTCCAGTCCCTCCGGAAAATTTTTAATTGTACTGCTGAAAGTGTTAACTCTGCCACTTAAATATCCATAATATTGTGCTATATCCAAAGTACAAAATAAAATGATAAAACTGAGAACATAATGGTCTGCTATCTAGCCATGGGTGATGTATTTGTGCCCTGCCCCCAACAGCTCCGGAAAGCACTGAGTCCTGAACCCCAAACACATCATGTTTATTCCTGTACAGACATACTTATGATCAAGTTTAACTTAGGTAAAGAGATTAATAACTAATAGAGCAATTATAACAGTGGGATATAGTATAAGTTATGTAAATGTGCTCTTTCTCCAAAGATCTTACTACAATGTATTTTCTAATTCTGTGTCTAGCTTGGACCACCAAAACCATGGAAAGTACCACCACACAAAGGAGTACTGTGTAAACTACAGCCATAGTCTCTAGAAATCTAATTGTCTTTATATTTTCTATACCTTTCTTAATTGAATGATGAACTATAGTTAAGGAAATTCACAAGATGTTTTGTCATACTTTTTTGGACTTATAACTACAGTAAAAGATCATTCTTTTATGCTGTTTTCTCAACCTCTTATACTTATTGATGTCTTTCCATGTTTACTTTTGTTTATAATTATACAATTTGCTAGTACATTTTTGGATGTTGTATACATATCAGTACATTTAAATTTTTTAAATTATTTTTATTTTATGTATATGAGTGTATTGCCTGCATGTATGTAAGTGCACCTGTGATAGTCAGTGCCCACAGAGGCCAAAAGTTGGCATCCCTGGAACTGGAGCTAGGGACAGTTGTTAGCTGCCATGTGGGTGCTGGGAATTGAGCCCGGGTCCTCTGTAAGAGCAGCCAGTGCTCCTAACTGCAGAGTCATCTCTCAAACCCCATCAGTACATATTTTTAAAACCTGTATTATAAGCCAGGGTGTGGTGGCACACACCTTTAGTCCCGCACTTGGGAGGCAGAGGCAGGTGGATCTCTGTGGGTTCAAGGCCAGCCTGGTCTCCATAGTGAATCCAGGCCAGCTGTGGCTAGAGGGGACCCTATCTCAAAAAGACTA